TTTTTTTTTTTGTTTGTTTGTTTTTTACTACCTTCAGAAAATGGACAGGTTTCCTCAGTGCAAAGAAATCTTGCTCCTTGTGTGTATTTTGTTACAGTTCCCATTGCAATCGCTATTCCTTCAGACATATAAAATCTTTGAGATGTGTAATTAAAGGGAAACACAGAAAGACTCAGAACGTAACTTGGTAAAGGTGGCAAATGCGTTGGTTTCAGCACGACACTAATCTAACAAGAGACACAAGTCCATTAATACCAAAATAATATATTTCTATTTAAATCTGCTTTAGTTACATGGACAAACACACAATGTGATATACCTATACAGCTATTAGGAAAAAATGCCAGAAACACATGAAGTATAAGAGTAATTACATCTCATATTAATCCTTGTAATATGGTTGGATGAGACTTTCAGCTATTCTCAATTACAAATAATTCTACAACCAAACAGAAACTGAAAACTGAAAAGTGAATAAAAAAATAATTGTTAATACTCCACCATATATAGAAGACTCACCTGGGCCTCTGTCTGCAGTTGTTCAATTAATGATAATGTCTTAATAGCTACAAAACATACCTGTGATTGAAAAATAGCTTCATTTTAGAAAGGAAAATATAGTTAAAATTTAGAAGATGTAGTTTTCATATAGAATGCCAGGTTGGAAGGGACTTCAAGTATCATCTAGTCCAACCTTTCCAGGTAGGAATGCTCTTGTTGATAAATATATACTTACTGACTGAAAAATCTGTGCAGCTTCTATGGGATTATGAAGGATGTAGTTTCCAAGAGTCGCATCTAATTCAGCAATGTCAGAAGGATTGATTGAAATAATGAAATGATAAACAGCATAACTTTGTTTTGAGTCTGCAGGAGCAAGAAGTATCTTAAATAAAAATAACAGAGATTTGTGTGACATTACTTATCAGTTTAACAGACTGAGTGAGTAATACCATTATATTTTTTGCAATTGTGCACAAATTTCTGCAGGCCACCACTTCTGTCAAGGTAGACAAGGGCAATTTCCCTCATTTTCTGAATTTCACGATGCATCTTCCAAGAAAGGTGTTTGAACTCTTCAAAATGTTGGAATAAACTGTGAAGAAATGATGTTAGAACTGGCCATGCTACAATAAGAAGAAAGGTATGTATTAACAAAGCCATACAAAATTAGAAGTTTCTTTTTCAAGCTATGCAATTCTTTGAGGATTTTAAAAATTCAATAGAAAGTTCTTTCCAATGGCTGAAGCACACATACTACATTCCCAAAGTAATATTTCACTGTCCAATTCCCTACCTCCTTCAATTAAAGCTTGCATTTAATTTAACCTCCCCTATGTTATTTATAGGTATAATCAACCTATCAAAAGCTCTCCCTTATCTGCAAAGTCAGTCATAGCTGTTAAAATTGAGAAACTGGACAGTATCTTTCCCCTTTCTAAAATCTGACTTTCCTACTGTGCTGTTACCTCCTGTAGCACTCACATCAGGTACTGATCTTGCAAGCACTCATTTCCATCCACATACACAGAAGATAAATTGTCATTCCCACCAACGAAACTTTCCCAACCACAGTTTTGCTCTGGAGGCTGAATATACTCTTCAGTGCTGTTCTCCTTGTGTATTGCTCACAGCTTTACAGTTCTTTACAAGTAGAATCTTGTACCAGGAAGCACTACTTGTCTGAATTTAGAGGGAGAATTACTAAGGCAAAAATACGGTATTTTTTATATATGTATCTGCTTTACTGTCTTACAGATTTTTCTTCCACAGTGTCCTCTGTCCTCCCTGTAGATGACCAATATGAAATACCACTTAGACCTTCGCTACCTGGTAAAGGACAAGACAGAGAAGCACTGGGCTGATAAGCAAGCAAAGCTCACAGCGTCTGAAAGATCCCTTGCAGGAGTTTACAGAACTGGCTTTGAGAGGACAAATAGCTCGACACCCGGAAGAGGAGTGACTGGCCACCAGTGAAACACCCGCATGGCAGCAGTGTTATATCCTGCTGTCTTGAGAGTCATACACTGTGGGATGGTAGATGTGCCTGGAAGTATCAAATACCCAGCTGAAGTTGAAAGAGAATTTACAGTAAGGATTTCATCCCCCTCTGCCCCCCAGTTTCTTCAGGATTACTTCTACACAATTCCTGCTTTATCCCTTGAAATCTTCAGCAAGAAGGGATTAAAGAAACACAGACAGATCTACCGTATGTTCCCGACCCTGGTGCTCCCCAGGCGGGAAGGGAAGGAAAGGAAAGGACACCAAACGTGACTAGGGAGGCCCAGGTCGTTGTGCACCAGTCGTCGCTTCAGCTTGAACTAATGTGGCCCGTCCCAGTGCTCCCCAGTGCCCTCCCGGCCCGGTCACCCCGCTCACGGGCACTGCCGGGGGGCACAGCCCCAGCCCAGCGCCCCTGCCTCACAGACCCCCCGCAGCACCGGGGGTTTCGGTGACCCCGATGGGGCCGGGGCTGAGCAGCCTCCAGGGATGAGGGCGGGAGAGCCGAGGGGCCCGCGCTGCTGCGGCCGCAGCCCCCGCAGGGCCCAGGAAAGGGTCACGCACTGAAGTGCAACGTATCCATAAAGCCTTTTTCTCTCACGAATCAGTACTGCAGATTGAACGGTGGCCTTCAGCACGGCTGCTCTCTGCAGACCTGCCTCGCAGGGCAGCACCTCTGAGCTCCTTCTTTCTGTTCGACTTCAGTTCATGTTCTTACAACTGCTGTGTGTTTAATCCAGTCCATCGTGTCCTTTTCTCTCGCTGTCCTCCCAGGCCAAAAGGCAGGACAGCACGTTCCTGTGGTTCCACAGCGCCAGGAGAGGAGGCCTGCTCCTCACAGGGCTCAGCTGCACCTCTGGAAGCTGAGGAACAATCCCCTTTTGCTATCCACAGGTTCAAACACCCCTGCGTTAGTCACAAAAAGACACATTTTCCCTCTCTTTATTACATCTGACACAACAGGGAGGGAGAACCACAGGTGGTTCCTGTGTGGCTTCTTCAACCATCTCCTGTCCAGGCTGTACCACAACTCGTGCTTCAGATTCCCCTTCTCAGCTCAGGGTGGGTGAAGGGGCTACTACACTCAAACCTGCTGTCTTACTTTGAAAACCAGCATCGTGAAATGCAGAAAGAGATGCAGAGTGAGAGCAGTAGATACAGAAGCACTGTGAGGTTTCACTGCCTGATGTACATAGTCTGTTACCTTCAGAAGCCCTGATCTGACAGAGGCATTTCAGAACATGAACTTGCAGAAGGAAAAAAGTGAACTCAAGTATTGCAAGTGATATGTTCAACATGAACATTTTGCCAAGAAGGCAGATCCTTCTGAAGAAAAAGCTTAGTAAGCAATTATTAGGCTACTCTACCAGAAGTAATTTCAACTACTACCTTTAAAAAAAACCAACAACAACAAAAAAGAAACCCGAGAAACCCCGTATTTATGACCAAAAAAAGATAAAGAGAAAAAAAAAGAACAAACCAACCCCCCCAGACACTCAGGCAGCTAGGCACAGACATTTTTGAAGTACAAGACAAAGGAAGTTCTAGCTCCTACAGCAATGACTTCCAAATTATACCCTCTCCTTCCCATCTCTCTACCAGCACTTCTGCCCCTTGCTGGGAGAAGCAGAAAGCAGCTACACGTGCTTCCTTGCCATAAAGAGAAGGTAGCTACAGTAGCCCACAACCATTTCAGGAGTACAGATTGTAAAAATTCACTATGAGAATGGGTACTTCCTTTCTTATAATTGATTTCTGCTTTTCACTCCATCAGGCAAACGTATTCAGTAAAAAAAAAAAAAAAAAGGAAAAAGATGCTCAGATTGTCCTGAACAGCTGCACAGCTATTTCCAAAGAGCAGCACTATGCAAAATGAGCACCAAGCTACCAGTCTGCTCCCACAAACAATACAGTTCTCCCTCTTTTCCATGCCTATGCCAAAAATTCTCGCTTCTTTTACCCAGCTACTCCTGCCAACACCTCACATAGCAGCTGCTCAGTAACACTTGAGCACCAAGCAGGAGATCATGCTATAGAGATACTCTCTGAGATAAGCAAGGAATTATGTTTTAGTTTTCATTTACCTCAAGTTCCACTGTTCACACAACATTAATTTCAAAATAATTGTCATTTGGTACACTCATTCTCCCAGTATTCTGAAATTTTAACTGATCTTGATGCAACAGAGACAGCATTTCTCTTAGCTAGTTCTTGTTTTGTGAAAAATGAAATTATTTAGATTTATCCAACATTCAGCTCTGGCTACTCATCACTGTCTTACCAGACCTCTCTTAAATCAAGGTGTTTCACTGAATGTACGTATGAACAAAAACCAGAACACTTCTGAAGTAATGGACAAAAATAAGTTGTTATTTACAAGTAATATATATATATAAAAAAACTACTACCATGATAGGCCTTTATACACTGTAACTGCAGTCAATTTTTGCATTGTTTAAAAAAATTTCCTTAAACAGAAATAGTTCAGAATTATCAGTTTGTCCATACACATGTATGTTATGAGAAATACAACAGCTTTTCACATTTTTTAAATTACCAGCAAAATCTACATTTTTTTCCCCCTAATATCAAGTGAAGATATTAAAATGGTGCAAACTGGAACACAAAGATAAGTAGCTATGAATGCGGAGAAACAATCAATTTGGAACATACTAGTGTTTCAAACTACAGATCCGTGAGAAAAATCCCTAATATTTGGCATGATCCCCTAACACCCACCCCAAAAGGTCAAAGCAAGATAGCCTTTTTAAGTAACAGTGATTATTGCATATTTTATCTTTGGAAAAGCAGTTTTAACCAAAAAACATTTCTAATGTAGTTGAAATATAGACGTATTTATCTCAAGGAGGAAAGAAAAGTAGAACACATGATCAGTAATGTTATCACATCAATCCAGTTAGTTGGTTCCATCCTTGCTTTGAGTAATCCCCCATGCCTCAGACTGAGTAAGTGGGCACTTCAGCAAGCACTAGAGCAACAACCCAGTTTTACACTGACCAACTTTTCGTTCTGTAGAATTCCTTTAAGAATAACAGTCTTCACTTATATTAAACTCTCATTTAAGTGCTGACAGGTAAATTAACATATTTCAAACTGATACAAGTAGGAAAACATTTACCTTTTTTTAAACCAGGATATACAAAAGACGATTTGCATAGTTACAATTCAAGCACAAAGTCACTGTAAATAGGTACAAAAGCATTTACAGATTTACTAAATTTGCTGCTGTTTGTGCCAGCCAAATCTAAACATAGGTATCAATGTAAACTTGAAGGGATTGAGAACAGTCAGTGTTTTTGCTTAAAAAATATGTAGAGAATACTTTTTAAACTTTGTTAAAAATACTTTCTGCAGCAGGAACAAACAGTTCAACCCCTAAAGAAAGCCATCCAAAATGCCCAAATTCCTCCCATACAGCAGAGAAAGGCTGTTCATAGGTTTCAAACCCACATACAAAACGAGGCACTGTTCACACTATTTTGGAATGTGTCCATAACCCTAACATTTCAGTTTACCCCAAGACTTCCAAAACACTGTTGGCTTCTAACCTCCTAGGAAAACATGTCTTCAGAAGGTGGTGCATAAGAAAATCCAACAAATGCATCATCGGCCTCTAGGACACTGGCATTAACAATGCTGTAATCGGAAGAAACGCAAACTGAGTATGGGACCATTTCTTCTGTAAACACTGCATCAAAATTCCCAATATCATCTGGTCCAACCTACAAAACAGAAAGACCTCAATCAGCTGTCACATTAATACTGAGTTTTAAACTTGGGCTTCTCCTTTAGATTTCAAATTTAACTCTTAGTTACGTACTTTAAGTTGTTCTTTCCTATTTAAGTACAGGAAATGTAAGGAAGCACACTACAGTATCCCTGAAAACAGCTATCAAAAAGCCTGCTTGTTTCTTTTAGGCTGGAGTTCAGTCCAAACCCTACACACTTCACAATCTAATAAACTTAGAAATATGTAGAAATGTCTCTTTTTAAATGACTGTTAGGGAGATGTAAAAATGGAACCCATCTCCAACCAGATTAACACCCTCAAAAAAAACCCTCCCCAAACAAACCAACCAAAAATCCCCTCCCAAAAAACAAGCCACACCAAATAATCCTTCTCCCTCCCTCTTCAATAATACTTTGGGTGTTACATTCTAGCAACAGTACTGTTATGATAGATCAGCTTTCCAGCAACAAAACTAAGAACTAAAGTGTAGTAATATTTAGTCAGAGAAGAGACAAGAGCTGGAACTTCTTCACCAAAGAGTTGTAGGCTCAGCAAAAGGTGATGCTCTGGTGAGACTTTAGAAAGGACTTTCTAGCCACTTCTGCATTCTGCTCCACTCCACTCTCCCTTACATCTCCCCCTTCCCCCAGAAGTTTTTGGACATGCAATCACAGGTTGACAAAGTTTAAACTGATGGGAGGACAAACCAGGGCTCAATAACTAAAAAAAAAACCCAAAACACAAAAAAACAACAAACAGAGACCAGTGGTTTGGAAAGCCTTAAAGTAAAAAGGCTATCTGTATTTTCTTCTTAGGTCTTCAGACCCCACAAATACTGACAGTACTTCAAACAGGAATGAGCAGAGGGAACATTGATATGGCAAACTGAGTTTTAAGCAGGGAAAAAAAAGACAGTATCACTGCTCAGAAGCATGACTGCTCAAAAGGCAGGTCAGCACTGTGGGGTTCTCATTCTTCACCATTCTGGAAAAAACATTATTTGTAAACAGATGAGCCCTCAAAGGCATAAATTTGGTCAGGATGAACTAAACCAACACCAGGTACCTACCACATTAGGATTAAATGGTGGTGGAATCTTCTTCTGAAGAAGATCAGTCCAGCTGAGAGATTCAAAGAATGGGTGTTTTTGAATTTCAAGCTATAACAAGGAATAAATATTAGAAATCTCAGAAATCAATCCTGAGCATCACAGTAAATACTACTTCTGACTATACATGTCAATTCTTCAGTTTGTTCACTATTTACTTTGCAATAAAAGTTCTAGGTGGTAAAATCAGCAATTAAAATTTATTAGCCTGCCTCTACAAACTGGTCTCTTTTTAATATAGTATTTTTTGCTTTTAAGCCTTAAAACCAACCACCCTGAAGTCTACCACAAAGCAAGAACGTGTTCTGTTAGTATCTCTGCTCCTGCCTTAAAGCTTTGTTAGTTTTTGTAAAGCAGATCACCGAGAGGTGGCTGCTTCAACAACTCTGCAATATGCCTACCAGTAATGAAGCAGTGAACAGCTATGCCAAGTGCTACCAGCCTTTCATCTGGCTCCACGCTGTGAGAAAGTACAATGTCATAGTCTAAAAGTTCTTGTAAGGTCAACAGACTACCTAAGGTTAAGACTGCAAACAGAAGACTATGAAGATCTCACAATTAATGGATGGAAGAAGCCCTTCTAAGTAATTTTTCATTGCACAGTAGTGAAGACATTTATACTTTCACACATCACCTTCTTGCAAACCAAGTTTTTGCTGTTACTCTGGGAAAATATTTGCCATGATTTTAAGGCAAAAGAAAAAAAAAAGGAAAAAAAACCAAAAGAGCTGCTGTTTGCACAGCATTCCTCCATACCTGAATACTTCTTTTCATGTAGTCAACTGATGTTACCAGAAAAAGCTTTTTCTTTTGATTATTTCCAAGTTTCCCTACTAACAGTGAAGCCAACACCAGGAATTGTGTTTCCTTTGCTGGCAGGTCCAGCAGCAACCAACCTCAAAATGTTTGTATCCTGTAACAATCACCCCTCTCCTAACCCCAACAGCTTTCAGGGACTGATCACAATGGAGTCTTCAATGCAGAAATAAAAAGGAGGAAGACAGAGACAGACATAATAGAGCAATCTGTGTCTCCAACTATTGAGCTTGTGCTGTGCACATGAATTTGGTAGTGTCCCTTTATATCAGGAGGGCTTGATAAATTAGGACATTACATACAAAATCTTCCCTTGCTCCAAGTCTGCTTTGCCGATCTTTCTCCAAGAGTTCTTCCAGGATAGACCAAGCTGTAAGACTGATTCCTGGCCGCAGAACGAGGGGTTTATGAAGAATGTTCTCATACATCTCGGCAACATCACGGCAGTAAAAAGGAGGCTAAAAAATACAAGTTGTAAATTATTTTTAAGCCACATGAGCCATTTTATTTCATATGATTCTGTAAGACGTACAAACTGCTAGCAAAGAAATCTACCTCTCCTTATGTACTGCTAACTTATAATTCAGCCATTCCCACCCACCTCCTTTTCTCCTAAGAAATAAGTAGCCACTGATGCCATCCAGCTTCAAAGCTCCCATTGAACTTGCCTGGAAAGAACATGAGAGAAGAAAACCAAATCTATCTCCCTATTTAACATCCTGGGGGGCTGGCAGATAAAGGTCAAGAAAACTAACAGAACATATTGTTACTGGAGTGATAACATAAAAGAAACCAAAGCATAGTAAGATTTTTCTTTTAATGCTGCAACAAGAAGTGGAAAAGTTAAGAGATGTTCTGGGAGACTGAAGTGAAAAAAAGTATTTTTATTTATTCCAGTATTTGGCAAAATTTCTCCTTTAAGTTGGGGGTTTTTCAGTGGGTGTTATCACTGTTGATCCTGCTTAGCCTCACGTTCCCTCAAAGTAATGACTACTTGTTTTCTCTGGAGTTATGTCCAGCAGTTCATTGTAAAGCAAAATGTTAAACATCACGAAGCAATGCAAAATCCAAGACAGAACAAGGGGTGCTATGTTAAGGTAAGGTGCTCATCCTTTTAAGCAGAGCATGTCACTGTTCTGTGAAAGTTAGCATCTTTAACAACACGCCAAGGTTACTTTACATAACAGAGGGAGACAAAGGGAACCAACCCCTGACCCCAACATAGTAAATACATACCAGCCCATAAAGCATTTCATAAAGAACTGCACCAAGGCACCACCAGTCTACTGTGTTGTCATACGGCTGCTTTTTAATGACTTCTGGTGCAAGATACTAAAATGAAAAAAAACCCGAATTGTTTTAGAGCATTAGGCTAGCAAGAGTAAAACCTAGGCTTTAGTCCTATCACAGTAAACACCTTCAAAGGAAGCTAATCTAGAGCAATTTTAAGACTGCAAAGTATTTATTTTGTCCTTCAATAAACCTCACAAATACTTAGTCACCACCTGGTCACTTACCAAGCAGGACAGGTTGTTTTCCCAACAATACTTCTCACACACTACTGTTTCACCAAACTACTTTGCCTCCTCTACTATGGAACTTGTTTTACATTTCAGGTACGTTGCTGCACTGTTGCAGAGGCAACACCTCTCAGCAAGCTGGCTACTAGCCATGCCTATTCTGCCACCCTCAGCCTGCATGCTCCCCAGGATGGCAGATGAAGTACTTTGAACTCAACTACTTAAGCTTTTTCTAATCTTCCAAAATCTTTGAGATTTTTAGGTGTTGGAACTCACTAAGTCATTCAACTCAGTGTTTAGGAACACCGAGAAGATTGTTACCATTTTAGCAGGATCATGAAAGATTGTAATTTTAATCTTTGAATAGAAAGGCTAATACACAACTGTGATGCTTAGTCTTGATACTTTTAAGAACTCATCAAGTAACTGTGTTGGCATCGTCTATTGCTTCAATACATGGAAGTCCAAGGTAAGTGTAGAGACCGAGCCTCTGAACACAAGAAAAAATCCCCCACGGATTTTCTCAAACAGACCCAGAGTTACCAATGTTCTACATATTGTCCTTTAAACTTTCTGAAATATTCAACAAACATTGTTTCAGCTCCCATTTAACACTCAGCTTTATGGATTTCTACTCTGATCATAACTAGGATAACTTGTCATATGTTGCCTGTTTTTTTTTGTTCAAATGTTTCAACTTAATACCATTCTTTACTCATCCTTCACTGTCTTCAAGGCCTCTTCTGTAATGTAAAGTATGTTTATCAAAATATCAAGCCACTAATCCTGGCATTTCAGTAAATTCCTCATATATGTTCAAGACTTCCTGATTCTGAGTTTACCAGCCTAGTTTTCTAAGTAAAAAGAGACAACAGCTGAATAAACTCAGTCAGCAAGTTCAGTTTCCCACACACGCAAAATTTGCTCAAGACTCACACATATTATGTCCCTATAAACTTACTAAAAATCAGTGGTAGAATATGGTAAGTAGCTTCATACTGACAAATCTGATGTAGCTGTTACACAAGCTAACTGTACTGCGTCTAGCAGCCTGGAGACATGGGAGGAATAGAATTTTTCAAAAGGGCTGGAAAAAAGGAAGGAAGAGATGAGTTAGGGAGATGTGGGCATAACTAGGTGACACTATATTAGTAGAAAGGACAAAGAACATGTCTGCAGGAAGCTTCTCTTTGGCTTGGCTTCATGGAAGAGCTTGTTGATAGAATGCAAATATTCAACAGTACCAGATGGAATGTTTGAAGTTAAATATTAGTAATAGTCAACATTCATTAATTACTAGTCAAAAAACTATGGAAGTTGTCAACATACTTCTGGTGTGCCACAAAAAGTTGCAGTGGTATCCGAAGTTGCAATCCCTTCTTTACACAGTCCAAAGTCTGTCAACACAACATGACCCTGTTTAAGAAAGAGTGGTATTTTAAAAACAGAACATGGTCTACACGTGGATACATCCAAGTGTCAGTTTTGTGAGAGAACACAGAAAAACAGAAATAACGTTGCATACTTACTAGTGAATCTAGGAGAATGTTTTCTGGTTTTAAATCCCTGTTTAAAAAAACAATAATTGTATTAATTCAAAACAGCAGTCACTAAAACAAGAGCTTCAGAGGCAAGGACTTTTATTTTCCAGTTGTAAGCAGCAAGTTTTGGTGAAAACCTGGAACAGGTTGCCCAGGGAGGTTGTGGATGCTCCCTCCCTGGCAGTGTTCAAGGCCAGGTTGGATGGGGTTTCAAGCTGGTCTAGTGGGTGGTATCCGTGCTCATGCAGAGGGGTTGGAACTAGATGATCTTTAAGGTCCCTTCCAACCCAAACCATTCTATTATTTCTAAATTGTTATCACAGAATTATGGAATGCCAGGTTGGAAGGGACCTCAAGTACCATCTGGTCCAACCTTCCCAGGTAGAAACATGGTTCAGATGAGATGGGCCCAGCACCTTGACAAGATGAATCTTAAAAATGTCCAGTTTTGGGGAATACACCACTTCTCTGGGGAGATTATTCAAATGTTCAATTGCTCTCATTTGAACAATTTTCTTCTGATGTCCAATTAGGACAGGGGTAACTTTACTTATTACCCCTATTTTTTTCCATGTGACTCCTTGTAGAAACGGAGTCTCCATCTTCTTGGTGGACACCCTTTAAGTACTGGAAAAGGGCAATAAAGACTTCCCTAAGCCTTCTTTTCTCCAGGCTTAACAAACCCAGTTCTCTCAGCCTTTCCTCATACATCAGACTGCCCACTCCTTTGATCATCCTCGTGGCCCTTGTCCAGACACTCTCCAGGCTGTCCACAGGTTTTTTCATATAGTGGGGCCCAGAAATGAACACAGTATTGCAGGTGTGGCCTGATAAGTGCTGAGTGGGATGATAACTTAACCTCTGCTGGTGATGCCCTTGTTGATGCAACCCAGCATCTCTTGGCTTTCCCTGCTGCTGCAACACACTGGTCACTTGTACTGAGTTTGTTGTCTACCAAGACTCCAGTGTCCCTTTCTGGAGCTACTCTCCAGAGAGGTGAACCCCAGTCTGAGCTGCACTCCTGGGTTGTTTTCCCAAGTGCAAGTCCTTACACTTGTCCCTGCTGAATTTTTTTTCTTGTTATTCTACTCTTCTTCCAGCCTGCCCAGGTCCTCCTTGGAAAGTGGCTCTCTGTTCTGGAATGTCTACTTCTCCACTCAACTTGGTGAACTAAAAACTATTTACCACCACAAAATAAGTATTTACCACCATGTTGGAGTTCCCCATAGGATAACTTCATGTAGTGTGTTTTTATTCAGTAATTTCTCCTATTTTGAACTTCTGCAGGAGAAGGATAAATTTCAGAAACATACCTGTACACTATATTTATGGAGTGTAAGTAGCCCAGTGCACTGGCTATTTCAGCAGCATAAAATCTGGCTCTGTGCTCAGGAAAGGAACGTTCTCTTTGTAAGTGAAAGAACAGCTGTAAATATGAAAACAGTAAATAAGAATATTACACACAAAAAAGCAGGGTAATAACATGTAATTTTAAGAGTGAAAAGTAATTTTATTTAGCTGTCCACTTAAAAAAATAATCATAAAATGAAATATAACACAGAATCACAGAATCTTATGGGTTGGAAGGGACCTCGAAAGATCACCTAGTCCAACCCCCCTGCCAGAGCAGGGTCACCTAGAGCACATCACACAGGAACACATCCAGGTGGGTTTTGAACATCTCCAGCGAAGGAGACTCCACAACCTCCCTGGGCAGCCTGTTCTAGTGCTCTGTCACTCTTACAGTAAAGAACTTCTTCCTGATATTCACATGGAACCTCCTAAGCTTCAGTTTGCACCCATTGCCCCTTGTCCTATCATTGGATATCACTGAAAAAAGCCTGGCTCTGTCCTCCTGACACTCGCCCTTAACATATTTGTAAACTTTGATGAGGTTGCCCTTCAGTCTCCTCTTCTCCAAGCTAAAGAGACCCAGCTCCCTTGGCCTTTCCTCATCAGGGGGATGTTCTACTCCCTTCATCATCTTTGTGGCTCTGTGCTGGACTCTTTCAAGCAGTTCCCTGTCCTTCCTGAACTGAGGGGCCCAGAACTGGACACAATATTCCAGATGTGGCCTCACCAAGACAGAATAGAGGGGAAGGAGAACCTCTCTGACCTACTAACCACACCCTTTCTAATACACCCCAGGATGCCATTGGCCTTCTTGGCCACAATGGCACATTGCTGGCTCATGGTCATCCTCCTGTCCACCAGGACCCCCAGGTCCCTTTCTCCTACACTGCTCTCCAGCAGGTCAGCCTCCAAACTGTATTGGTCCATGGGGTTGTTCTTCCCCAGATGCAAAACTCTACACTTGCCCTTGTTGAATTTCATCAAGTTTCTCCCCGCCCAGCTCTCCAGCCTGTCCCGGTCTCGCTGAATGGCAGCACAGCCTTCTGGTGTGTCAGCCACTCCTCCCAGCTTTGTGTGATCAGCCAACTTGCTGAGGGTACATTCTATACCCTCATCCAGGTCGTTGATGAGAATACTGAACAGTACCAGTCCCAGGACCGACCCCTGAGGGACTCCACTAGTTACAGGCCTCCAACTGGATTCTGTCCCATTGACCACAACTCTCTGACTTCTTCCTTTCAACCAGTTCATGATCCACCTCACCACCTGACCATCAAGACCACACTTCCTCAGTTGATCTACAACGATGCTGTGGGAGACAGTGTCAAATGCTTTACTGAAATCAAGATAAACCACATCTACCACCCTACCATCGTCTATCCACCTAGTTACTTCTTCATAGAAGGCTATAAGGTTGGTCAAACATGACTTCCCCTTGTTAAACCATGTTGACTGCATGACTTTGTTATTCCTTTACTCACTTCCCTTCCTTTCTTTTGTAGCTCATACAAAAACATTCACCTAAAACCAAGTCAAAAGGAATCAGAATAAACCACTAAACTGTGAAACAGAGGTTGGCAAGATTAAATCATGCAAGGTAGCCTCCTGACAGATACGGAAGTCTAGCCAGAGATTAAACTATAAACATGCAGATGAAACTATACTACCCATTTAACCTCTAAAAATTGTAAGGAAACAGAAATTTTCTGGTTTCTGCCTAGAAAGTTTGGGGGAAAATATAAAAAGCAACCACAGCTTTCCAAGCATTTCATTCAAACTTGAAAGTTGTTTTGAACTGTATTTTAGTTTGCCTGAAACATGCCAAACAAAGCTGTGGCCAGGAATAGAGCAAACGAGGATTTTGCTAATACCATCTATCTAAGATGACAACACATTAGACAAGAGAAAGGTCCAGCTTGTCCCAGATTTGACACTTAGAGGTACCAGAAGGCCAGCTCTAGGAGGGCCATAATTACCGACAGTAGGACATGTGAATATGAACTAATATACATGCTGGCTCAGATCTCCTTGTGGTTTATGCAGCATACTTTGTACTTGTCTGTGTATATCCAGCTGCAGCAACATAATAGGAAGCCCTAAGAGATGCCAAAACAAACTATTTAAATTCTATCCCTTCTCCTGCGCTCTTTCAGCTTCCAGAGTTTTATCATCTGCAACAGTATCCTGTCTCATCCTTATTTCCTGTTCTGCTTTAAGTATCCGTAACACCTTCTGAAATGTGTACATTTTATACCAATATACCAAACTGAAAACACAGCAAGTAACAAGACATACAGGTCTTCTTTAAAGAATCTATGTTAGATAGTTCCTTTCATACAACAATTTTTCACTGTTTTCCTCAATCAGAACTCCTTTTCTATCTAGGTCAAGGCATTTTTAGTTTACAAAACCCCTAATTCTCCATAAAATCTTTTCAAGGAACAGAAGCAACATTTTATACCCTTCTCAAGTGTACTGGCTATTCAACCAGTTTCTACACGAGTTTCTTGAGCACTCCAGAAAGTACCACCTACTTTGAGAAGCAACAGGTCCCTGGCTGAATATAAACTGATCCAGAAGTATATTTAAACATATACAGACTTTCTCCATTTCTTTCACAAGTCTTCTCCCAAGTTGCTTAATTGCTCCTCAGTTTCAACAGCATCATTTCAAGGCAAAGAATCCTGAGGATAAGGCTATTTCGCAAGAAGTAATTTGACCATGGGAAGATAAAGAATAATCCCAAGATTTCCAATAATATCAATGTAGTAAGTACAGTTGCCAGTTTCTTTCCTTCTGCTTTTGAAATACCATCATCTCAGCTAATGCAGACACAAGAGGAAAAGGTAATTTTACATAGTGAAAAATGTCAACGTAAGATTAATTTGTAGTAAATGTACTTTTATGCAACCATAAAGCACAATTCTGACAATCATGAATAGATTTGGTATTCAAGTTGTAGATAAGTAGAGAAGTCTGTAGTTACAGCAGATAACAGGGTTTTCAAAATTCAGGAAATACTGAGTATAACTCCCTGTAAAGGATCAGTTTGTTCCTCCCACCTAGAATAAGCAAAACAGAGAGTCTCAAATCCAAATACAACACCACATACCTCTCCTCCATTAACAAAATCCAGGACAAAGTAAAGCTTTTCCGTTGTTTGGAATGAGTAATGTAATCCAACCAAAAATGGATGTTTCACATTTTTCAAAAGCACATTACGTTCCGCCATAATATGTTTTTGCTGTAAAGAAGATTATTAAGTAAACAGGAATGATTTTGTAATTAAGGGAAAAAGGAAGGGAGGTGGGTGGAGAAAACATATTTCTCTTCACCTCTTTCCTATTAAGAACAATTTTTTTCTGCAGCACTTTGACAGCATAGTATTTCCCATCCAGTTTTCGTTTTGCAAGAAGAACCTGTGAAATTCAAAACAAATGAAGAAATGTGATTGTTGCAGTTAACATTTCTGTAAATAGTATTTTCATAATTTCAGTGTTACTATAAAGTATTCATGCTACTTTTTCATAACAAAGTTCCTTTGCTTTTAATATAGTCAATCAGTAGTATAATCATCAATAGAGTAAGCTTATACTTGTGTAAAATCTGTCCTAACAGTGATATCAGGAAAGACTGAACCAAAGCATTTATTTTCCAGGACCTGCTCAATCACTATCAAGATCAATGTCAGCTGATTTTGTAAGTTTTAAAGACAATTTAACAGAAAACAACAACTTAAACCCCAAGATTGCAAGAGGCATTCTCTGTTGCATCTTTGCAGAATATCAATATTTAAGTCACTTTTCAATGGGCTGTTGCTCATACTGCTCCACAGCATCAGGGGCTCACAAAACCATCCATGCCAACAAAGGGAAGAATTACACCATTTGTGCTCCAGCTGCTGCATAAGCACAGGGCTACCTCCCTTCCTCTCTGGGGGAAACAGAGGAACCCTGTTGCTCTTAGCACGAACGGAAAATGCTCCCTTTTGTTGCTTCCAACAAGTGACTGAGGCAACCAATTGCAACACTAGGGAAAAAATGGCAGGACTATAAAGAAGCAGCAACAGGGATCCAGTATGTCAGTTCATATGCCACTCCAGACTGATACTGCCTCCAGAACCCTTGGCCAAGCTTTGTCAACAGTCACTGTTGCACAAGACACCAGCCAGCACCCTTGCAAGCAGGATAAAACACAGCAATAAGAAAGCTCACCTTGCCAAAGCTTCCTTTCCCAATAACTTTCAGGAAATCAAAGTCTGTTGGTTTAGCACTGAAAGATATTTAGGAAGGAGACAGGTCATCTAGTTAGAAACCACAAGCTTTATAGCTGTACAACAGTCCAGTGTAGCACTTTCCTCCATGGAAAGTATTCAAATTGTATAATTTGTTTTATTTTGTAAGTTTAAGATAAAAAGGAGGAGCAAGACTGTTCTTCTATTCTCCCTAATCTAGTTTTTAAGTTTCTATTTCCCCATTACTTTTTCTGGAGTTTTTTTTCTCATTTCCAGAGGGCAAAATGGACTCTTCAGTTTATGCAAGGAAAGGAAGGAAGAATCAAGTTTGTTATCTATTCTCTTTTTGCTTAGTCCATCCTTCCCTCCTATCCTCTCCTCTCATTTTAAATTACAGCAAGAGGAAGGAGGGAGGCTTTAACACCTTCCCCTTCTGTGTGTACATATGAACTCACTCTCAGTTTTTCCACTTCCCACATCACCACTCCTTTCAATTATTTCCCAGGATTCCCTCACATTTTCCTAAATACAATAGAGAGATATTTTTGTCAGTGAAACAATTATTCATGTTTTGAAATTCAAAACCAACAGTTACATCACCACACACCTCTCCGTTTACTGCCCCTGAAAGGAAGTACTCTTAAATTTCATTTCTTACTGCAGTCTATTAAGCATTTCCTCCTGTTAGCTCAGAACAAATCTGTGAGGAAAGCAAAACCAAAAATAGCAGTCATCTCCTAGATGAGAAAAGCACAAAATCACACACAAAAGAGAACAGAAACTCTAGAGAAGACATCAAACTGAGAAGCAAGTTATGACTGCAGCAACTAGGCTTGTGGTATCAGCAACACAACCTGTTCCTTTGCCGTGCATTAAATCCAACTTATTTTCATAAACTGTTCATATTCTTAAGACCAATGTGACCACTCCCACAACTGGGTCATCTTTGCCATACCATCCTTAAGTAAAAAGATTGCAAAAACTGAAGGTGAAAAGGAAATTAAAACTCATTGTTTATGTAGCATAGGAATCAATGTTTTGCTTCCTCCCAAGCAATGAAAATCAACAAATAAAGGCATATATGCTACGAACTTTTAATACTATTAACAATTACACATAGTCTAATTTTTCAGGTTTTAAAATTAATTTTAATAAAATTTCATTAAAATAAAATTTCTACATTAAATTGAATTACATTTTAATTAAATTTAATTGAAACCTACTGAGGATTTCCAGATGGTCCCAAGTTGATATTCTGTGAGGTAGAGTTTAACTGTTGGGAGAGACAAAGAGGTTTATTTTTAATATTATTTTTTTAAATTCTCTCCTATTTCATCCAGTATTAATTTCAAAATACTCTACTAATTTGCTTAATCCATACACTTGTTACATCAGATTTTTAAAGACCTCCAACATGCAGATGGGGAACTTTGTGAATTGAAATATCTAGCCATCATCATCTTGTTACAAATTATTTCTACACACATCGTATTCAAGGATGAAGGTAATAATCGTGTCCAGACACAGAAGACAATATTAAGAACAAAAATTAAGTGCTTCAACAAGCAACTTCTTCTTCATCCAGAACTTAATCCTTCCTGTATTTGCTCTAGAAACATATTTTCTCCCTTTTCTTCTAAGTTTTCTGAGATACTACCAATAAAATATTTTTAAACCCACACTGTTTATGCAAGAGTAGCTAATAAAAAGACAAAGTGCTTTTAAAAAAAACAAAAGTGAACATTTGCCACACCCCAAGAAAAACACTGCCAACCTTTTTTATCCTGACATTAAAGGCTAACTAACTCAATTCCAGGAATGTCACGCATCTTACCAGTGCACACCCATACAGAAATTCTAAATTACAGGGAGAGAAAGAAACCACCATAATTTAGGTAATTGTCTTAATTTTCTTTTCCCTTTAAAAATCAGTATTTGCAACCTTCACTGTGGTTTTGGACTCTACCGGAGAAGGCTAAACTGCATTCAAATTCAAATGACTTGGCAATGGGACAGCAGCAGCGTTACCCTAGGGAAGCAGAGAATGCCCTGACAGCAGCACTGGATGATGCTGTTCACTATTAAGAGCCAATCACACAGTGGTACTGGAGAGCTTCAAAAAAACTACTATCTTAGGGTTGGAATTTTTCTGTTCTTAAGGGCTTGCTTTTGTTTTGTGTCCTTCAGATTCATTGCTTACAGAAACTATGAGAAGGGGAATTTTCTATCACAAAGTATAGTCCGGGCCACTGTGCATTAAATCTCTTCCTATTTTGGAATTTGTTGTAGCAAATCACTAACTTTCCACAGAAAGTTTAGATCATTCCTCATTACTTAAAATGCCTTACAAAGGAGAAGGAAACTGGTATTTCAAATTAGAATTTTGCTGCATGCTCACTGTGCTGTCAACCACTTAAAAAAAAGTCAAAGACTGGCATCTCTGAAGCTGTCAGAAAACACAGCATCTGCTATGGTTCACAAATAAAGCAAAAAGAACAACTCTTACATCTTTAACAAGGACTGAATAAGAAGAGAAGTACTAAGATCACATCTGTATGCCAAGAAGTAAGTCATAAAGAAAAAAAGCTCAAATATGGCACATCTGCTTTCCTAGAAATATTCCTTTTTTAAAAAAACAACACAACTGTTTCTGGAGGCTGTAAATTAATTTTCAGAGAAACCATCTAGCTATGTAGTGACTTTTGTGACAAAAGAGGCTTCAGACCTCACACAGTGTTATATATGAAATGAAATAAAAACCATCCTTGCTCCTGAGTGGCTTTTAGAAAGACTGCATTTTTTTTTCTCTGAGAGAATCATATTTCTTCCCTATTTAAAAAAAACCAAACAATCAAACAAAAAGGCAATTAAACATTCAATCTTTGCTGCTACTTGCCAGATGTCCTCAGAAGAATCTCTGAAAAGATTGCTAAAACTAAGACAGCTAAGCCATTACTACAGCTGGGTTTCTTTAACCCACATAGCAAGGGATGGAAGAAGCAAGACAAAGCTAGCTAGCACTTTTACCCCTCTTCGCAGTTCACATTCGACAGAAAAATATCTTAAGAGTCCACAGTGGAACACATCTGTTCAAAAGAGCATGGAGGGGATTTATTGCAAAAACAACCAGTAATTTTCAGTAAATATTACACTTTAGATTGCCCTCAAGTAGCTAAAATTTAGACAACTCTTCTACTTGTCTTCTATTACCTTCCGACTGCTCCTTTCATCTTCATCTTCAGAGGGATCTGACTGGTGTTTTGGGTTATCCATCTGAAGAAATGCTCTGACATCTGGGCTAGAAACACAGAGAACTTCATTAGCACAGTGATAATCTGCAGGATTTTCATCCACAACCATAGGAAGCACAGAATTAAACAGCAGCATACAGAGGAGTTACACATCACTAAGTTTTATATTCACATTCTGGTAATTAAGGACTGTGTACAAGAAATGCTTTTATGGCAACACAATTCAACTGCTGAGTGTGTTACAGTACAGTATACAGGACAGTAAGTTTTTATTCAGAGTGCACTCTAGCTGGGCACTGACAAGGCAATATAAGAAATCGTTCTAGTCAGCTCTGGGACACAAACACTACCCTTAGGAATGGGCAAGAGAGACTACCAGCTTCCCACAGCACTTAAGCATTGGTTGTTTCTAGCTTCTGTCTTGGTGGGAGAAAGGATAGAAAGTCAAAACATTCTGAAAACCTGCCCCCCAGAAAGCATGGCTTACACAACAGAAAGTTTTAAAGAATATAATGTTGTTCTTAACCACAGCACAGTGAGGGAAGGAAAGAATAATGTAATACAAGTGAGGCAAAATTAATTCCTAAGCAACTGGGTATCATGTATAGCCTATTTCCCACTTAAAGAGATTATGTGAATCTTTCAAGTTCCTTCAGTTCAACTAAAAGGCAATCTGCTTATGAAGGAAGAAATCTTACCCAAATTTCAGAGATAAAAGTTCTCTGAGAAGGCCTCAGGGAAGCCACTGATAGGAAATTCTGAATGAGCCATTCAATATGAGAAAAGCACTAACTTAATATGGAGCTCCTCTTTTATTTTATTCCTAGTGTATATAAAATAGGATAGTTTCACTTGCAGATACACCTGCTTTGCTATTTTCAAACCATTTCACCCTCTACACTTCTGTAAAATGAGCAAGAGAAGTAACAGATCAGCAGTTCCTGACATTTTTCCATCTCCTGTATTTCATATTGGCATTACTGAATCTAAGTCACATCCTACACTATCTGAGGATCCCAGTCTCTGCCACACACCCTATATGAAATATGTTTCAGTTACCTTTAGCCTTTCAGGCTTAAAATACAGTAACAAGACTGATCACATAATTTCCCACTATAATTTCAATTTAATTCTTCCCATCTTAAATGAACTCCAAATTTTGATCTATTTGAGGGTTTATCTTATATCCTGAATCCTGGGAAGACAAAAATCACTAATTTGAATACTGCGGTAATACTGGTTCGTGATGCAAGAATTTAACTTTCAGAATCTTTGTATATCATAATATAAAGAATAAAAAGTTATGGTTAATGCTTTTCATTAGACAGAACAAAACCAGACCTTAGCTACCTTTCAGCATTAATTATTCTGGACAACTGGCTGATTAAATAGAGCATGTTGTAATACATCTCAAATAGTTACTATAGTAATTTTGCCCATGACTGAATTCACAGCAGGAAAAAAAATAACAATCACAGTAAAAGGCTGCTGTACAGTTACAGGGTATTCAACAATCCCCTCAACACATGGTGGCCAAAAACATAACTGATCGATGTTCTGTATTTAACATCTGTAATGTTAAAAGTACTGCAAAGAAGTAGTGATGAAAAAGTTTAATGTACCAACTTCTAAGCCAACACTGCAGTATGCTATGCAAAATTCTGTATAATTTGTAGGACTTCTATGCTATATTAGCTTACAGGTATTAACTCAATGTATTCTAAATCAAGGGGGTGAACAGCCCAATTTTGAAGAATTTCTCAGTGATTTAGGGGGTCTGACAGTGCTCACAGGTGACAACCTCTAGTTCCTATTCAGTCAGCAAGGGAGACGCATTATCAGATCTCTGTCCCTCCTGATTATTTTTTTGGTCACATCTGCATTCTATCTGTGAGAGCAAGTTCTCTATCAAATACAGTTAGCTGAGTAAATGCAGCTTGAAACTAGTCCCCTTAGCTCCCAAGTCAGTCTAAACCAACAATCCATCTCACCTCATACTCCACCTTACAGTGATTGCAGAAAAATCCTCATCAACCATTACAGGGTCTTCCTAATCACTCTAACACACTTCAGAGTTTTGTTTGGTTTATTATAGAGCAGAAGGGCCTTGCTTTGATACAATATTCAACAAACATGTTAGGCCCAAGTACAAAGTTCACTGAGAGAGGGGGAAAATAAAAAAAGAAAAAAGCAGAACAGGGTGCTGCGTGTTTCAGTAGTAATGTAAACATTACTGCTTTGAACACACTGAATCTGACATTCATGCTTTTCAATTCAGAGGTTCAGGTGCCTTCCCCCTTCCAGAAATGGGGATGTCATAATGAATTTTTCTCAAGCTTTGAGTGAAAAAGTTTTCCTAGGTAGGAGTTAAAAATACAACATCCTGATACCAGTTTTAATAGTTAAAAGATGTAGTGGAAAGCAGACTTCTCTGAAGTTCTGTGAGAATGCAAAACCCCTAAACTCTTCCCTGTACATTACTAAGTTTACATAAGTTATTACCTAAATATCAAATTTATTTTGCATATTAAAGCAAGTAAGTCTAAGAAAGCAAGGATGTGGACTACCTGTGAAGAATCAGTGACCACATATTCATTGAGTAATTTCTAGCAGATTTAAAAAAAAAAAAAAAAAAAAAAAGAATCCAAACAAACAGCCAAGGTCATAAAATTCTGGTATTTCCTCACTAGTAACATTCACTGGCACACAGAAAAGCTGACAGATTATGTAATTATTATTTGTTGCAACGCAGCACTGCAGAAAGTAGGAGCTCACTCCAGGAAACAAACTACCTTGCAGTCATCAAAAGAAAAACAATACAGAAATTACTATTAAATGGTTTTGCACTTTTTAATTATTAATATTTTTAAATTTAATTCTAAATTAAAGGCTTGCTTTTTCTCTCACATAAACCACTGTTACTTTAAGAGAAGAAGAGCACAAACTTCACTCTCTATTTTGTTTTTACTGTAGAACTACACTTAATAAGCTTTTTATTTAACACACTTTTGACAGCACCAAAACACTTTCTAAGACCTATTTTTTAATATGGTTTTAATAGATCAGACAGGTGCCATGTTGAAGAACATACATTCAGTCACAGATGCATGTGAGCATAAAAATATTTAAAAGCTCACAAAAATTTAATGAGGGGAGCAGATTTAAGGCTTGTCTTTTTTTTTTAAAGCACAAAATTTTGTGTGGAAATGTGCATAAAAAATTAAAAGTACCATTTTATCTTTGGAGAACAAGTATAGTATGCTTTAAGATAAAATATTTTGTACTTGGACATACTCATAACCAAACAAGGGACATGATTACACCAAGTAAAATCAGTGTCTTCTCCTCATGTAACAAAACAGATCAGCTTTCAAGAATCAGTTAAAGTGCTTTCTATTCTTACCCAGAGAAGAACCTGACTACTACCACAACTCTCACAGTGCTTGTTCTAGTGGAAAACTATTCCATTGTAAAGACTTTGTTCTGGATTTTTTTCCACTTAGCACACAGAAGTAAATATGAAATGCTTCAGTTTTCCAAAAAAAGAAAGGGAATATGTATTTCAGATTATTAGGACATAGTTATCTTGTTGGAAAAAAATTAATAATCTGACTACACACACCAAACTACAGCAATGGTCTGTTAGACACTTTTTTCCCCTATGAGAAATGGGCAGTTTCTCAAGCTGTACAGATTGGCTAATTAAACAAAGCATATATATCAAAGACATTTCCTCAACACTGAAGCCAAACATAAAACTTTACTGTTTTACTAGTTCAAGTAACATAGAAAGTTGCATGGATTTAGTTGAAACTGATGAGTTACACATTTAAACTTAAAAAAACATAAAAATTACTCCCCAAATCAGTTTAACATAGAAATGCTATCCTCCAGATTTAACAGGAACTGACTCTAGCATAATACTGTCCTCAGTCTCTCTCTTAGGAGGAGAGGCTGATACACCTGGGTCTGTTTAGCCTAGGGAAGACTGAGAGGGAATCTTATCAATGCTTATAAATATCTGAAGGTTGGGTGCCAAGAGGATGTAGCCAGACTCTTCAGTGGTGCCCAGCAAGAGGAAAAGGGGCAACGGGCACAAACTAGAACATAAGAAGTACCACCTGAGCATGATTAATCTTCTTTACTTTGAAGTTGAGAAGAGCACTGGAACAAGCTGCCCAGAGAGGCTGCGGAGTCTCCTTCTCTGGAGATAGTCACAACGCACCTGGACATGATCCTGTGCAACTTTCTCTGGGTGAACCTGCTTTATCAGGGTGGTTGGACTACCTGATCTCCTGAGGTCTCTTCCAACCCCTACCATTCTATGAATTTTGATTGATAACCATCCCACTGATGGAGGTTAACAGAACTGCACTTCTTCTGACAGAAGAGTTTATGTTCAAGTGTATTGATCTGCTTTAGGCAGGTCAGCTTCCTCACCCCAAACCACCTAAGAAAGCTGATTAAGCTACTTGGTTAACAGGCTTAAAACAAGTTCTAGAGTAGATACAGGGACTCCTCTAAAAAAAGGATGCAGACATTGACTCACTCCCAGACGGGCAAGATAGTAGCAAGTGACTAAGTAAAGTTTTCAAATAGTAAAGCTATTGGCAAAGCAAACACCTGCGCTACAACAACAGTTTGCAGTGTAATCTGCACCTGTAGAACTAAAATCAGTTAATTGCCTGCAAGTTTATTTGCAGATCAGTTTTCAGAAAACAAAGACATCTTTACACTGTTCATCAATCTGTAAGTTTTTCCTGGAGGAGTGAACAGCCATAGTAAAGTGTATTTATTATACTTAAGACCACTGAACAGGTAGAATACATTTTCTGGCTAGAAGCACTTTTGGAAATTTGTATTTGACATCTCATGTCTTTTTAACAGTCCTTATAAAACAGAAATGAAACTACTTACTGGTTGCATAGCTCTGGCTGTCTAACTAAATTCTGAATGAATTCATTCAGTCCTGCTCTTCTCTGTTTAATGAAATCTAGAAAAAAGAACACGATATATTTATTAGAATGAACAGTCAGCTTGTGAAAAAAACACTTTCAAATTTAGATCTTTTCGGACTTGAACGAAGGTCAAAAAGACATGGGTTCATGACTGGTTCTGTATATGAAAACCACAAGCTTAAAACATTCAAGTCAGATAAGGGAAAGAATTTCAGTTTCTCTGCTATGCAAACTGAAAATGTCGAAAGCCATGTGGATTAAAAGTGCACTGAAGTGCTTCAAGAACAGTGTGCAACCACAGTAGGCTAACCTGTGCAGCCTTTGTTGCACGAGTGAACCCTTGAGGGCCTGATTCCACTCAGAAAAAAGCCACAGGCAAAACCTGACATCAGTTGCACAAGTCAAGTTTTTACACAGTCCCACCAAGCAGCATATTTCCATAATATACGTATGGCAGTGGGAAAGTTGCACAATTTGTTCAGCCAGCAGGCACTCAGATGTAACGACTGAAGATAACTAAATAAAATGCTCTTTTTTATTTTTTTTTACCAGTGTAGACATAATCTCTCATGTAAAAAAAATTACCTTCAATCTCTACCCTTATCCAAAGTTTAAAACCCTAAACTTCTCCTTAGCAATACGGAAAGATACACAAGAGACTTGTAAAAGAGCTCTGACACACTAAGCCTATAGAGCTATCCATATTGCTGAAGATAAAACAGCTGCATCATGTCACCTCAAATGTCTTCTGTAATTTTCTAGTTCTGTATTTTGACTGGTTTCAAATGGTTCCCTCTACCCCACTTTTGAAATTAAAATGAGATTAATTTTCAAATAATCTAAGTGACAATAAAAATGGAGCGTTCAGATGACGATGTATGTTAGGACAGTGTTTTTGGCAGACTTTGGGAAAAGGGATATGTAAGTTTCACTCTACTGCACTTCAAACTCCAATGCAACAGTACAATGCTGCATACCTAAGCACGGACTGAAAGAAGTAAATACCATTCCATCAGTTGTAAAGTATGTGACTTGTTTCAGAAGCCAGCAGAAACATTACATCAAAGCTTCAATAAATCAGTGTTAAGATGAAGAATTATTTAAATAAGCATCATGGGTCCATCTCCACCCTGCCCCCCAGCAAGAAACATCTTGAGAACTATTTAGTTTCTCATGCTTCAAGGATTTCAGGATAGTTTGTGGAAATTCAAAACAAGCCTAAGCACTTTGTTTTACATATATAGTTTTAATGAAGTTTTAGTTGAGGTTTTTTCCCCTATTTAAACTCCTGTTTTCTATCTCTTATTCCAAGAAATCCACCTGTACATTTGGCTGTACAGCAAACCACATTTCAAGACATTACTAGCTCTTTAGGCAGCTCTTAAAAGGCCCACAACAAAACAAGAAGTCCCTACAGAACTTCTGACAATCTTTTATATCTTCACCAGAAGAGGATATCAGAACCTGGCTACTTGCATTTTATTATTTTAATTAAAAAATAAAAGGGACTCAGATGATTTAACTGTCAGTGCCAAAAATTAGTTTGTTGAAAAAACTCTCAAAAGACCAAAACAACACACCCCGAGATGACGAACATCTTTGGATCCATCCAGCAACAGAGAAAATTACATCCTTGAAACAGGTGCAGGAGAAACTACAAACACAAGTCTAATCACATCAGCAAGCCAGGAGAGGGCGAGAGGTTCCCCATGACTATCAGGAAAATCCTTCAGTAAAAATGGCCTGAATGAAAGGTAGAAACATAGAGCAAGGGTCTGACCTCTCACTTGCCTTTTAATTTATTAATTGGTGGTGCCACCTAGGTTAATTCAATGCACTTAGCCCCAGACTTCACTGACAAGTGCTCAGACCCCACCACCCAGGTCACAAAAGGCAAAGGCAGGGACTGGGAGAAAGAATATCCATCCACGGTAGGGGGTAGAACAGATTTGAGACCATCTAAGAAACCTGAAGGTGCATAAGGCCATAGGACCTGATGAGATACATCCATGCGTCCTGAGGGAACTGGCAGATAAAGCTGCCAAGCGAATATCCATCATATTTGAGAAATCATGGCAGTCTGCTGAAGTTGCCACTTACTGGAAAAGCGGAAAGATAACCCAGATTTTTAAAAGCGGGGGAAAAAAAAGGAAGATCCAGGCTCACCTCTGTGCCTGGCAAGATTATGGAGCAGATCCTCCTGGAAACTATGCCAAGGAACTTGAATAAGGAGGGCATCAGTGACAGCCAACATGACTTCACTAGGGGCAAATCCTGCCTGACAAATGTAGTGGCCTTCTACAATGAAGTTACACAGTTGGTGGATAAGGGACGAGCAACCAGTGTCATCTACCTGGACTTATGCAACACATCTGACATTGTCCCAAACAACACTGTTGTCTCTAAATTCAACAGGCATGGACTTGAGAGATGGACTGCTTGGTGGATAAGGAATTTGCTGAATGGTCACACTAAAAGAGCAGCAGTCGATGGCTCAATGTCCAAGCAGAGATCAGCAATGAGTGCTGTCCCTCAGGGGCTGGCACTGGGACCACTGCTGTTCACCATCTTTGTCAGTGACACGGACGGAAGGACTGAGTGCATCCTCAGCAGGTTTTCCAACACCACCAAGCTGTGTGCTGTGCTGGCACGCTGGAGGGAAGGGATGCCATCCAGAGGGACTTCGACAGGCTTGAGAGGTGGGCCCATGCCAACCTCAGGAAATTCAGTACGGCCATGTGCAAGGTCCTGCACCTGAGTCAGGGGAATCCCAAGCACAAATATAGGTTTAATGGAGAATGGATTGAGAACAGCCTCGAGGAGAAGGACTAGGGGATGCTGGTTGATGAAAAGCTCAACATGAGCCAGCAACGTGCACTTGCAGCCCAGAAAGCCAACCATATCCTGGGCTGCATCAAAAGAAGTGTGGCCAGCAGGTCAAGGGAGGTGATTCTCCCCCTCTCTTCCAGTCTCTTGAGATCCCACCTGCAATACTGTGTCCATTTCTGGGCCCCCCAACATAAAGAGAACACGGAGCTGTTGGAGCAAGACCAAAGGGCCACAAAGATGATCAGAGGACTGGAGCACTTCTTCTATGAAGACAGGCTAAGAGAGTTGGGGCTGTTCAGCCTGGAGAAGGAAAGGCTCCAGGGACACCTCAGAGCAGCCTTCCAGTACCTGAAGGGGCTACAGGAAAGCTGGGGAGGGGCTTTTTACAAGGGCATGTAGTGATATAGGATGGAGAGAGGGAACTGTTTTAGGGAACTGTTTTGAGGGTAAGTTTAGATTAGATATTAGGAAGAAATTCTTTACTGTGAGGGTGGTGAGATACTGGCATAGGTTGCCCAGGGACATTGTGGAAGCCCCCTCCCTGTAAGTGTTCAAGGTCAGGCTGGATGGGGCTTTGAGTAACCCAGTCTAGTGAAAGTTGTCCCTGGTGGTAGGTGCCCCTGCCTATGGCAGGGGGTTGGAACTAGATTATCTTTAAGGTCCCTTCCAACCCAAACCATTCTATGATTAGTATTCCACAGGGACACAGCAAGCTTAATTAGGACCTATCACTGCTAATTGGATCACATTATGTTTGTATCAGACGGGCTTTTAGAAAGATATCAATTTTCATCTCAATTGTAGAAGGAAGAACATTTAAACACAAAGAGTTGAAAAACCTTAGAAGATTAATGTTTTAGTTATTTCATTTTTCAGTGGTGAAAAAAGTCACATACAGGAAGTTTAAAATTCACCACGCAAACATTTAGAAGAGTTTGGGGTTTGGCTTTCACATTTATAGAAGAGAGATCACACCTGATAGATCAAAACCTCTCACAATCCTGAATATGGGAGGGCTGGGAGGAGCTACAGCCTTCAGTACAAGAGGCACTGGGCCACTAAGCAATACTTCACTGAAGATTACAAGGTAGAATCCCTACCTGTGCTAGTTCCTGTTCTTGACTGAAGAATGACTTAACTTTGGATTAGTCACTGTTTTGAGGGCTGATGCAAAACTCATCTAAACTAGCATCTTGTAGGCTGGATGGAGTACATCAATTTTCACATAAAGAAACTGACAAAATGAATAATAAGATAACTTACCAGGATCAAAATTATCTCCGAATATTCTTTTAGCTGGAATCTTCAGGCTCATGGTGGGAAATTGCTTCTTTAGCTGAAAACAAAACAAATGCAGTTGGATTGTGCTTAGACATTTAAGTACCTAGAGATAATTGCACTGTTTGTTTCCTGACAAACTGTGAACATCTGATTATTAGTAGCTCTGCTTCTCTCTGCCATCTTCTCTATTCACACATTTATGAAAAAAAAACAAACAACAAACCCAAAACAACCTGCACTCAAACTGTTTGCACCAGTCATACCCTTTTAAATTTAAAGGCTATCTCATTTAAGAAAGCTATGAACTTGCAGCTACCTTCTGCAACACAGGCAAAATTATTGTCCCCTTGCCTCAAATTAAAAACATAGGCTAGTATTTCAATGTCATTTTTATTCTCCCCTTCCTTCTTCCATCAATTCTCTACTTTCTCTTGGGTTAGTTTTTTCCTTGCCTGCTTACAAAGGGATGCATGAATGATGTTTAAGATGGGCTGGGGATATAGGCTTTAGGTTTTGTCAGAGTTTCTGAGACCACACATGGTCTATGCTTAAGTCAAAACTGTAAATAGATGAGCAGCATGTCTTACAACACTGCATTTGATAATCTGATTAAATTCTACACTTGATAAACTGACCAGAAGACAATATGCAATGGCACTGAGTTTATAAAAAAACCCCACCTTATCACGATCCAAGAGTTGATTACATTTGCTCCATCTTAAAGTGCTCCAGCAAAAGCAATCTTACTCTTACCCTCCTTAAGGGAGGAGTTTTCTAATAAAGTAGCTGCCAATTCTTTCCTTGGAAACATCCACCAGTTAGGAACAAGCTCTTCTTGATGTACTGTATGAATTACGCCAAATAGAAACCAGACTAAATGGTCATGCTCGCCCAGGACTTACACCTCTATACACATTAGAAAGATCAGTGCTGAACCAACTTCAGCACAGCAATGCTAATCTGAACAGCAAGAGGACGTGGCAATGGGAACAGGATCACCAACACTTGCTCTGCAGGTATGGAAAAGGGGGTATTTTCACATCACTTCCAAGTCTATCCCAAGACACAAAGCATAGCGTGGAACTTCTGGCTGACCTCAGCCCAGGCCTTTCCAGACAGCTCCAAGCTCACTGCCTGCTGTTGTATACCACTGTCACACAGAAATCCATGTACAGGGAGGCAGAACAGAGAAAAGCCTGGCTTCTTCCCATAGAGCTACTAGAGGGGAAATGGAAGCACAGATAAGTAGCTAGTAACTTTTTCTTGTGGGTATCAAAGGAATTACTTCTTCATTCTGAAAGCGAAAACTGTGGGTTTTAAACATGAAGAGCTGGGAAAAAGTCCAGACACAGGACACACAACAGATTGCACGTTTGAGCACGTACTTGCCCTGCTTGACCACTATGTAAAACAGGCAAAATCCTCTTCTAACAATGAACCTGAGAAATCCACATTTAGTCACTGAAGACGCCCATTTTTTTGGATCACTGCCACAAAATTTGGCTACAAAACAGCAGGCAGCAATTGCCATGACTGACTCACCAGAAAATGTATATTAAGAAACAAGGATTTGCTCACAGTTTTCAGTGCTTCAAATACTTATTTTAAGAGCATTTATCTATCTAGATGTTTTAAGTTTTGCAGTGATGTTTACCATCACAAATAAACGCACATTTTAGCTGCTTTGATAATGAGTAAATTGGAAGTTTCATTACACTGGGATCCCAAACAACAATTTAAAAAGGTGAGAAATAAGTGTATTTTGAGTTTGAAATTCAAACATACTGAAGTTTAAAAAACCCACCCTGTAATCTACTTTAAAAAGGCTCCTATGGTTATTAGATATTGACTCAAGTTCCTCATTGAGGTAATTAACTGAAATCATAATGCTGCAAACAAGTGTTACGCTGTGGTATTTTGGCTTGGATTTAACACAGTTTGCCTTTTACTTACCGTATTGTACAGTTTATCAAACTCTGCATACCGTCTGAAGACAAACCATTCATTCCTGCCAACTGAGACCAAGACTTTGTAAACCTGTAATAACAAAAAAAAAAGTTATTGCCAACAGCAAAGTTTAATAATACCTCCCTGGTTTAATCCTGTGGTGAAAATAAGTACATTTACACAATACATTTACCAACCTGTGCTTAAGTTATATGTTTCTTACAGCTGTCACAGACTTAAAAAACAATTAGAAGAGCCTGGTATTCTACAGAAATAAGTTTTTGCTTATCTGATGTTTAAGTGGATCTAATGGAGTTTCATAAATTTGTTCATATCCAACAAGAATACCTGGCCATCAGATAGCAGTCTAAAAAATCTGCTATGAATTTTGTTAACAATTTTATAAGCCATAACGAAGACTAGTATTAAGGAAGTAAAGCATTTAAATACTGAAGAATGCCTTCACCAAAACCTAAAGATTAAGCACATACTGGAGGCAGTTATAAAGATAACTGTTCCTTGTAACATCTTGAACAGATCCTGTAGTCAGGATCCTGGCAGCTGACACAAATGCTCAGGGGGGAAAGAACGCTGCTGTGGCTTGAACAGAGGCTGCAAAACACGCCGCACCGGGACCAGGGGAGGCGCAGCTGGAACCTGCTGCACATTTCTGGCCCTTCAAATCCCATGGCAGCAGAGGACTCCAGTAACTAGCCAGATTGTCAATCCCTGGCTTCATAAATCTGGTTGACAGCTGAACATTCAGTGGACTTGTCTCTTATGCAATCAGTTGACCTCTATTCTCCACTTTCTTGTACTTCTAGAAGGAGTCTGGCTACTCCTTCAGGGAGAGGACAGGCACAGCAAGGAAATGAGAGCAGAGGGCTGCCAATTCCTGATGTAGGAAACTGGACCAATGCCCCAGTCCCCCCTTCTGTCCTGCAACAGCAGCTCACCTCTCTTTTTGACTCCCTTAATGGAAGAGGCAGCCACCACCATCAGTTCCTTAGCGTGAGATTTGCATTTATGCTACATTAACTGCTCAAATAAGATGCTCTGTCTTTCCTGGGGAACACAAGAGGCTGGGCGGAAGCATCCAGTAGGATTCTGATAATACTCTACTTAGAAAACAGCTTTCTCTCATACTGCTAAACAAGCATTGTCCTCCTGAATTAGGTATCTTACACAGCAGTTGAGTCCTGCAAATAACGCTCAAACACGCGACATCTTCACTCCCTATGACTGCATAGCAGATCAGTGCTGACAAACTTAAGAAGCAGGTTATGGACAACAACGTAAATTAGCAGGGCAAAGTGCACAGGTGAGCATAACTTAGGATACAAGATGATATTCAACCACAAGATTACAAGAGCTTTGTTCTTGGAGTTACTGGCTATAGAACAATAACCCAGGCCACATTTTTTTGAGAGTGCATAAAAAAAGTCCCTACAAGGTAACTCAGTTCACACCATCACCAAAGCTCCTTCATATCCAGCAAAGAAGAAACTGTAATTTCAACAGTTACAGAAGTACTGAATGGTAAGAACACGTACAATAACTACAAAGAATGTTGTAAAACCCAAAATCAGGACATGTCTTTGGGCTGTATTACTACCACCAGCTATGCCTATGAAATTGTTTAGAGAGATATGCAATGCCTGTCTCTAGAAAGGCTGGGGGGAACAATCTAGCCTTACTTAGATAGTAACTTTCAAATCTAATTACTCCTGAACAAAAAGTTGTCTTAGTAAACTTCTAAAAAATAGCTGAAAAATAGTTGCATCCACAGCTTACAATACATGGATAAATAATGCAAAGCTTTGAGAAAGGGAAAAGAAGTAAAAGAAACAAGAATTCCTGAAAAAAATTACAATCATCATGGTAAACTATCTTCCCAGATACAGATATGACAGCATCCAGTTATTTCTGGACATGACAGATTTCCTCATGAAAGAAGTCACTGAAATGAAAAGGCTTCAACTCTGTTTCCACAGCTCACACTTCTGGATTAAGTTTGTATTAAATTAATTATTTGTATTAAATTATTAACAATTTGTATTAAATTAATTATTAAATTTAAAAGGTAGGCTGTTTTCCAATTTCAGGAGAGCAAGCACTGAGAAAGTAAGGAAACTATTAAACGTCAAGAAAATGGAAAAAAAACAACTCCACAATTTCCACAGGGCTGGGGATTACTATTCACAGGTACATCACAGGTGTAAGAGGAAGCTTCCTGATTTAATCAGACAACCAGCACTACTGAAAGAGATTTCTTAACAAGCCTGTATATGACTGGAGGGTGAGGGGAGACAATACAACAGATCAGAAGAGAAATGAAGCTTCAGACATCAAACAGCACAGGGTTAAAAGAAAGAAATCCAAAACAAAGCTCTTTTGCAAAACAGGCAAAATAAAGTGCTTCCACTATGCAGCAAGGACAGAGCTGCAATCAATATATCCTAGATATGGCCCAAAGCAAGCATTTTGGTTTTTTGATGAAGAAATTCAATACTGAATCCAGAAAAAAGGCAGGACAGTGAAGTAGAGTGGATATGAATGGAGGTTCATTACCACAAATTAAGTGGAAGCAAAAAAGCCTTCTTGTCAGAATTTCTGAAAAATTCAAACACCGAATTATTAGTCAAGAAAAAAATATTCACAGAATAGAATTGTTTGGGTTGGAAGGGACCTCAAAGATCATCTAGCTCCAACCCCCCTGCCATGGGCAGGGACACCTCCCACTAGACCAGGTTGCTCAGAGCCCCATCCAACCTGGCCTTGAACACTTCCAGGGATGAGGCATTGATAGTAAATACATGAAATGCACACAGTATTAAAGAAAAACAAAATATTCAATAAATGGTTATGAAAAGCTTAGGAGAAATGAAGAGTTCATTTCCAAAACCAAATTTAAAACACTTGAGTCATTATCAGAATGAGGACTGCACAAAGACAAGATTGTTTTTTTAAAACGCTTCATCAGAGCAAGTGTGAGGGGAAAAAGAAGAGCTAATAAAAGCAAAGTTGCATGTACTTGTCTTGTTTCCATGCCAGCACTAAGTGAGCCACTGTAAGGTATGAGCTGAATTCAGTTTCTATTCAGACCAGTAATATTCTAGAACACTCTCAGAAGCAGAAGTGATATATACTGTAAATGACAGTCAGGTGAAGGTTACACAGAACAGTCACCTGAATTTTTTCCTAGCCTTTATCACTTCAACATTTTCTTTCAACCTAAGGTTTTTATTGCTTTCTATGGAAATGGTATTAACAATCCTATCAGAAATAGCTGTACCTACCACAAATTTGTTAAGAACTGTCTGCCCCTCTCACTCCCCTCCAAAAGAAGTACTGACACACTCGAGCCATTACAACACAGCTACAAAGAGGAGACACAGTAAAAAGCACCAACAGGCACATGCTGGAATACACAGTTCCTACCATGAAGGGTTCCTACCATGAAGGGTTCCTACCATGATGACCTTCACTTTTCTTATCAAACCCTAAAATACATGTGATAATACTCAAAAGCTTCGTTGTGAAAAGCAGCTCTCGTCAAGCTGCTAATTGATGCAGAAAGCAGAAGCTGCTGAGACAAACTGTACCTCCACACAGTGCAAGCTGGGTTGGATTCCTTCCCTGCCCCCCAGTTTCTGGTTTCCTACTCTTGCTTTTACAGTTTTCTAGAAGCACACACCCAAAGGAAGTGTCTTTAAGTTGCTAAGGTTGTCACACAGACCTTTAGGTAACATGAACTGGAAATAACAACACTAGTATGTACCACAAAGGTACCGCACTAGCGCATTTTAATAGCAGGACTGCCAGCAGTGATGCAATAAAACAAACCTGTTTTGCTCAAGTTTAGACTTTTATGAGGTTTTTCCTGCTCACTTGAGTTTCACATGCATGCAGAAGTTTACAGTACTAGTAAAGTTCTCTTTTGCTTGTTCCCTTCACCAACACACTTCTTCCTCAAATCATATTCTGACACACTTGTAGAATCAAATAGTACTGTTCTTTTCTGAGGAAGGGAAGAGAAAAGACATATATATAACTTAAAGTAAATCTTTGTTTTGTTTCTCTCTTCATACTGCAATTCAATCTAAGGGTGCTTGCATTCCACAACTGAAGAGTGACTAAGTCACTAAAAAAAACCAAACCAAACCAAACCTTAGAGGAAGTTGCACAAGAGCAATGAATTAGTTGGAGCTTTTTAAAGGAAGTACTGCTGTCTTTATATCCTAGCACACATATAGGCAAAACAAAACTCCATACCACACTATTCTTCAGTATGTAACATAAAAAAGTTTTCCCGCAGAATGGGAAGACTTTACTTACAGAAAGCAAGTCAAATTGGAAGGCCAACAAGGAAGAGGGAGGGGAATGACAAGGAGTGGAAATGGGAACAGGATAGGAAAAAACTCATAGGCATCAGCATCGGAAACCAGGAAGGAAGACAGAAAAAAAGGCCTTCCAAAAATTCAACATTTTCTATCATTTTTTTGCTTTTACACAAAAAAACAAAAGTATTGCAGAGTATCTATGAAAAAAACAGCCAGTTAAGAAAACAAAACAAAATAACCAAAACCACACTTTACTCCTTCACAAAATAAATATTTTTGTGAAAAATCATTCCAAATCTTACCCTGATTTGGTACCAAAATGCTATCCCTGCATTTGGACGCATTTGTGTATTTTCTATTGAGAAACCACTGCTATTTACCAGAAATTTGTAAAATCTAATTCAAATTTTTCCAGAAAGCAACAGTTAAAACACTGTAAAACACTGACAACTTCTTACACTGGACTATGGCCACTACTCCCAAGAGCAAGTGAACAGATTTCCATAAACCTGTTGAAAATAATAGCAAGCTTACTAGTTAAAAAAAAAAACCAAACAAGAAGAGACACTAGCACTTCTAGGCACTAACAGCCTATGCATTTCCTACAGTGTTTACACTCTTACATACTTACAGTAAATCTTTTTTTCTTCTCTCTGTGTTCATCAGAGCTGGGAATGCTAACACTCGGGCAGCTTTCTTTGAGATCCATTGTATGTGTTTTTTGACAAATTTGTTACAGGACCCTGCTTCAGGTGTTGCAATCAGAAGGTATCTTCAACGGTATTGATCCACAACACGCAGCTTTTCTTCAGAAAACGTGAATTCCATCATGTAATCTTAAAGTGAACACAGAAGGAAAATTAAGTACAGGAGCACTTAACTCACAGGGCTAAAACCTGTGTGACAAGAACTTTCCCTGGCAGGAAATAAGCTTCACTACGCATATACGAGCCATAATAATTATATTTTTGCAAACTGTTTCATGCTCATGGTCCTATATTGTTTCACTGAAATCACTCACAGTGTTTAAGGACACAAGTGCACTCAAAAAATCACCAAGCTCTGTAGACATACTGGACACAGACTTGGGGCCGTACAGATAATACTCTGAAGGAACAAAGATAAAGCACAGAGGAATACTTGAAGATGACAACCTGGTATAGGACATCTGAGAAGAGCCACTAATGTACATTCAGAACAGTTTATTTAAAAAATGAAGGTTTTCAGTGACATGAGACTATACCAGGGGGCATTTCAGATTTGTTAGAACATGCTGAGTGTATTTAACTATCACATCAGAGATGAAAGACAACACGAGAAAAAAAAAAAAAATCATGTGAAATGTGGAGAGGGACACAGGTGACATCATGTTTCTCTGCCCCCTTTCACCCCATGCTTGGCATACTTTGTGTTTAGAACAGTAAGGTCATGCATTCCATTCAGTAGCACAGTTAGTTTCCTTGCAGAACTTGAGACGGGCACAAGACAAGAGAGAGGTTAAAGCCATCAAAAAGGCAGAGAGCTTAGAATTAACTGGGTGCCTCTTCACTCACTGAAGGACAGTATTCTCCACACCTGCCTTGAGCACAAGCCAATTGTTCGCTGGACGCCACTGCAAACTACAGGAATTTCAGCACTAAGAGAAGCCAAAATTAATGCTACATAGCTAGAACTCTCTTCTCAGGCCTGCACAGCCATCTAAAGTGTGAATGCAGCTCAGCTCTTAGAACAGTGTGTGTCTGAACAATTTATAAACATGAGAAACATTTTTTTGAGAGACCTCAGTTCTCAAAACACCAAGAGGAAAAATGAACACCCAGTTCAACATTTAACTCCCTAGTTTCTTAAAATAAGGAAGCATAAAAGTGAACTGCATATTTCATGCAATAATTGTCCAAAAGCACAAACTAATCCAATGCAATTATGGTATTAGAGAGACTCCCATATTTATGCTGGCACGAAGGCCAAAGCACCTGGAAACCAGTGAAGATTTGTTCTTGATACCCAACTAGTCTCAGTTGGTCAGCTGACTATTTTTCTTGTTCTCAAAAGCCAGATCATCTCTCTGGTTAAAACTTCATGTTATTATTTCTCCTGTAGTCATTTAAAATCAGGTAATTTTCAAAGATCTAGTGACTTTAAACAAAAAGGAATGTTTGAAACCACTGTAATCAAAGCTAAGTGATAGACCTCCATACTGTAACATATTCAGAGAATGATTTTTAGTTACATCTGTGTAATCTTAATTCTATTGCTTCCTACTTCACAGATGAGGTAATTATAGGGTTAATGAGGGTTAAGCTTCACCCCTGCCTATACTTGACTATAACACAGCTCATCAAGCCAGTTACACAGACCCTGAGTTTCGAGTTGGCTTCCTTTTTCCTTTGGCAAGCCACTGCTAGAAGCCTTATTACAACAAGGCACAGTTCCCTTTTTCCACAATTATATACTGTTTAAGACTGTTCTTAACCCATTGCCACACACTAAAATTAAGAAGTAAAGGTTAACTTGTGCTTGCCTCCATCACAAGAGGTCCACTCAAATAGTCAACAGGCACCACTTTCAGTAAGTGTTTCACCAAGCTTAGACTTTACTAAGCACTTATGTCAAACTTCAGCCACTTCAGGTCCAGCGCCAGGAACTGAGAACAAGTCCCTGTGTTTATCTGTCTTCCTGCTCATCACAAAAAAACAAGTAAAGCTTTAAATTGGATTAGGTTGTTCCTTGACTAATATCACTCACTGTCTTTTTCTTCTTCTGAACTGACATTCATTACAAAGGTTCCTAACACGCTTGCACTAATTCTCACAATATAGGCTGTGCTTCTCTCAACCCTTTCATCTTTTGAGTGTCACAGTTTTAAACAGCAGTACAGCAGTATGTATTAAAAGCTGTAGTCCAAAGAATATCACTTGGAAGACTCAGCTTTATTCCAGATCTGAAGTTCAAAGTTCTACAAAAAACAAAAGGAGGAAGTGTCACCCAGATTAATTCAGGAAGATTTTATTCATCTTAGTGGGAAGAATAAATCATCTGAGAAGCTGACACTGTGTTGTTGGTATCTTTCCTGAACCTGCCTGGAAGATCAGTGGCTGTAATTAATTTCTTTCCCCAAGGCATCTCCTCTGAGTTGCACCTGGGTCTCCAACACGAAGCAGAACTGACAAAGGTGGAAGAAATGCATTATCAATTTGCCACTAAGCTCCAGAGCATCAGAGTTTTCTTCCAATTTCTATCTGTCATGAGCCTGTTAGCTCTTGAGAGCTCTTCACTGAACTGTAGGTCTGACTGTAGAAATAGGGATAGATTGGCCTTATCTTTGCCACGCTACAGTTTAAGAACACAGCTGTAGTTTTACTAACAGGAAGAACCACTAGTGTTGTGGTAACTACATGAAGCAATAAGAGAGAACAAACAGCAGAGACACATTTTCATCCATAGCTTCGATAATGCAGCCTGCAGTGTCTTGAGGTTTGCCAGATACAAGTGAATTTAACAGACACTGGCAATTGAGAAGTCTCTGTCTCTGGTCACACCTTTCCCCATAACGAAGAACAAGTATTACCTCGCTTCAATTTTGGCATCAGGCACAAAGGAGAAGGAACTTCAGAAAAACAGGCAGCAAAATAAATACCTCCTAAATCATACTTCAGCACCATGAGGAAACACGTAGGTAATACAAGACAGGTTAACACTGAGACCAGTGCTGTCCAGAAACAGCTACAATGTTTAATTTGCTACAGTATCTAGGCCTGGAATGGCGGAAGGCACAGATAAAGGCATGAGAGGAGAAGTCCTGCATCCTCCTGGCAATGTTTCAAGCCTATCAACAGCTACACTGTCCATTTTCTCCATTGTGATTGTCAAAAAGCAAGCGGTATTTTCACCGTTTCCTGCAGGAAGCCACAACAATGTCAACTTTCAGGCTGACCCCTGCCTTTCGTGAAGTAAGAGCACAGCAGTAACAGAACAAATGAAGAATTTTCTGAACGCCTTACCATGAAGTATTTGTGCAAGCTCGTAATAGCTACATGAAATAGGCAGACATGTAGTTTAGTGGTAAGTGGCAACCTCCTTTCACTCCTTTCTACATAAGATAGGCTCAAACTCTATTAGGAAAGGTTTCTGATGCTTAATCAGATTGTTTTATTCTGTACTGAAACATTTTATTTTCTTTTTTGAATGATAATGGCACGAAGACAACACCACTGTATAACCAAAGACCCTTGTTCTTGGTGTTTATGAGTCAATCTTGCCAAGAATGTTCAAAACTAGATTAGGAAGCTACGCACTCACCTGCTACCTCTTCAGCTGTAGCTAAATTGCCTTAAATACCTCTAAGGTCAGTGCAAATCAGCTCACAGACTCATTCCAACTCTTTGAGTAATGCAAAGGAAGCAAAGACAAGAACAGTAAAAAAAAACCTAAAACACACTCCCTCCACAAGTATGCTTTGGACAATCACCACGATCCATACTCACCCATTGGAACAGAAAATGCATTTCCCCATACACTAATCATTCACCTAGAAAGACTTACTCCAGGATTGAGTCACCAATAAAAACAGCTGCTGAAAATCCCACCTGAGTGTGATTCCAGTAACAGAAGGAAACTGCATATACAGAAACAGAGAGAAAGATACAGGAGATCTATTATTCACTAAAAGCATTACTCAATTTCCTCTTACTTTAAAAGTATCATCTTTGGCATACTTCTCATTGCTTCCTAGAAGTCCTGCATCCTCCTGGCAATGTTTCAAGCCTATCAACAGCTACACTGTCCATTTTCTCCATTGTGATTGTCAAAAAGCAAGCGGTATTTTCACCGTTTCCTGCAGGAAGCCACAACAATGTCAACTTTCAGGCTGACCCCTGCCTTTCGTGAAGTAAGAGCACAGCAGTAACAGAACAAATGAAGAATTTTCTGAACGCCTTACCATGAAGTATTTGTGCCAGCTCGTAATAGCTACATGAAATAGGCAGACATGTAGTTTAGTGGTAAGTGGCAACCTCCTTTCACTCCTTTCTACATAAGATAGGCTCAAACTCTATTAGGAAAGGTTTCTGATGCTTAATCAGATTGTTTTATTCTGTACTGAAACATTTTATTTTCTTTTTTGAATGATAATGGCACGAAGACAACACCACTGTATAACCAAAGACCCTTGTTCTTGGTGTTTATGAGTCAATCTTGCCAAGAATGTTCAAAACTAGATTAGGAAGCTACGCACTCACCTGCTACCTCTTCAGCTGTAGCTAAATTGCCTTAAATACCTCTAAGGTCAGTGCAAATCAGCTCACAGACTCATTCCAACTCTTTGAGTAATGCAAAGGAAGCAAAGACAAGAACAGTAAAAAAAAACCTAAAACACACTCCCTCCACAAGTATGCTTTGGACAATCACCACGATCCATACTCACCCATTGGAACAGAAAATGCATTTCCCCATACACTAATCATTCACCTAGAAAGACTTACTCCAGGATTGAGTCACCAATAAAAACAGCTGCTGAAAATCCCACCTGAGTGTGATTCCAGTAACAGAAGGAAACTGCATATACAGAAACAGAGAGAAAGATACAGGAGATCTATTATTCACTAAAAGCATTACTCAATTTCCTCTTACTTTAAAAGTATCATCTTTGGCATACTTCTCATTGCTTCCTCAGTCTTCTCATCAACTATCCTGATAATGACTCAACGTTACACAATCTTTGAGAAAGCCCAGAAAGTCAACCTTTTCTCAACTGCTGTATGATGAAACAGGAGTCCCGCTCTTTTGCTACCAGACAAGCAGCTGACACACAAGAAATGGGATATTCTGAATCCAATG